AAAAAGTTAATTGTTTTCCATGGTTGAGGTAATGCTCATTCTCTTAATAAATATTGCATTGCTCATATTTTAAATTGCAAGTCTAATTTTCTTTTAAGGTTATGCAGTTGTGTATAATGTAATTAGACAGGTGCTTATTTTTTTTTTTTTAAAATGTGCTTGAAAAGTGCTTATAGGTGCTTACTTTTTTAACTAAAATGTGGCTATGAACCCTGGTTAATGCTTCAATGGTGTGGTGTTGAAATCCAATGGAAACTCTAATGATAGAACACCGCATGAAAATTTTATTGAACGCCCAAAAAAAAAAAAAAAAAAAGGCTATATACCATGAACAAGAGAAAAACCTGTCTATTTAAACAAATTCAAATTCTCTACATTTTATGTGCGAGAGCAATATGTGGCTCCCGAACCTGCATTTGAAACAATGCCAACATATTAATGTTATTTTTAAAACAATTAATTTAACTTAACTATTGAAAACGTATTCGGAGGTTAAATAATAATAATATTCATTTTATGCTCTCGAGACATCCTTTTGCATATTAATCTTCAATTTCTTCTTTCTTTATGTGACCTTATCACAATAGCATTGCTTTAAGCAGGAAAGATATATTCATTGTGCCTCATTCTTTCACATACAGTATATATAGCGTAAAATAAAAAGATATAGTAATACAGATCTTTACCTTTGATTACATCAGAATTACAGTATTAGTAGTAATGTTTTAACAATAGAAGATCTGTAAATAAGATGGTGAGTCTAGTCACTTAGCTTCCTATATTGCAGATGAGAGTAATTATCCTTTACATGACACTTAAGTTTGTAGCTTTAGTACAAGTGAGAACTTTGCAAAATTCAAATACAGTAATTCACTCAGTTCTGAACTTAGTTTTTATGCTTCATAAATATGAGTTATTTGAATTCTAAACAACAGTGCACTACCATAATTATTACAAAAATTTAGTAAGCTTATGAAAACTGTTTAATTGATGAAAGTTCAGGTTTTTCTGGCAGTTTAACCCTTCAAATAGCCCAGCTTTTTGGATCTACTTCTGAAACAAAAACTGTATTTAAACAGTATTAATGGAGTTTGTTTAATTAATTACTTTAGTGTGTTTTGATAAATTTTTATTCATTGAGATAGTATTTTAATCAATATAAAAAAAACCTTAATATTTTAAATAATATTTATAACAAATGATGAAAAATCTCAGGACTGACTAAAATCGGTGATGTCATTTAGGAGATTAAAGCCTTAGCACCCAAAAGTCAGTCAAGTCCCATCAGTCAAATAGAAACCCAAAAATCAGTCAAGTCCCTCCTCTGAAAAGCCTTTCATAAAAAGAACTGATGAAAATGTGAAGGGGTAATCTGTAGTTTTGCTCTCTGGTGCTTGAATGCACCCAGTCTGAAAGTGAGTGATTGATGTGAGGTCAGACATGAAAAAGACTTGGATGATTCATCATGACAATGTTCACTGTCACATAGTGCTTTCCATAATCAGTAGATCCTCAGAAGGAAAGTATCCCTGTTGTCTCTTAGTTGTCATGACTTTATCCTGTTCCCTGGACTTAAAACCCATCTTTAAAGGAACCACAGAAAAAACATTCAGGCTGTAATTGACCAACTGAAGGTCATTTCAATTTCAGAGTTCCACCTATGCTATGAAACGTGGGAATAATGACTAAATGTGATGTGTGTGGCTTCCAAAGGGAACTGCTTTGAAGGAGGTCAAATAAATTTGTAATTTAAGTGTAAATGAAAATGCTCTTAGAAAGTCTCATTACTTTATTTATAGACCTCATATGTAGGCTTTTCAAAATATCCATGATCAACACTTACAGTATGCTAACTGCAATATCAGAGGCAAAAGAGGTGCAAGGAAATGGATTTTCTATACTGAAATGTGCCATGGAATTTTTAAGGTACAGTGTTCTTCATTGTTTTGATGCAGTTGATCTTTACATCCTTGCTTTCTCCTTTATTTTCTTTGAATTGGAGATAATTTTTTATTATTAAATGCTGCGTGTCCAGTCATGTAATTAAATTTCTCGTCATTGAGATACATTATTCTTTCACTTTGTCATTTATTTTTGCATTTTCCTTGTAATGATGATCTTTCTTTTCAGTGATCAGTTCTTTAATAAACAACAGGCTGTTTATTATCAGTATTCATTCTTTTGGATTATCCTGTGTAATCTCTCTAGTTATTGCAAGATGCTTCAAATTAAATATACTTGAATCAGTTTGGAGATTAGTATTTTATTTCTCTCCAGAGAAGGTTTGATTCATTGTACTCCTTTACCTAAAATATAAGGCTTGGCCCTTGTTATCCAACTGATTTGCATTGTAGTTTTGTCGTCTTGATTCCAAGCAAAAGCTAGTTGCCATATATCTTTAAAGTTAAATTACTCCATGAAATTTGTTGGAAATTTTCCATTCTTCAATGTAGCCAAAAAAAAAAATAAATAAATAAATAAAATAAACTCCGATCTGTACCTAGGTTTTGATGAATGTGCATTGTAACATAAAATGATATGTCAAATGAAACGCTGTTATTTGGTGTCTTTTTAATTTTAGAAGCATTTTTACTATCCATGTCTTTAGATGCAGCTGGTAATCATTTTCGAAGGTCTTGTCTTAGAAGATGACTGTTAGTGATATTCAGTATTTTTAATTATGTTGTTGAAAATAGTCTTCACTTCAAAGATTGAAGTGAAAAAATTGGAGCTTTTTCTATATATTCAGTTTTATTCTGGAGCCCACATGCATGTCAAAGTATCTGTTTTCTCTTTTCTATTAAAAAAATCCGTTAATATATTAATTTATGCTAATTTTAATAGATATTAATTATTTAAACGAAGGAAGTTGATATGCTAAATGTGCCATGTTTTCCATGAAGTAAGTACTTCATGTTTGGTCAAGATTGCCTTCTCTCTCCGTAATTTTTGATAAATATAGATTCAAGATAGGTGCAGATATATTACTGTATGTAAAATAGTCCTTTCATTTAATTTTGTGCAGCCAAGTTTGTGTCGTCAAAAGTTGCAATCCTGTGAGCTGCAGACATGAAATTAAAACAACTCTGCAGCCATCAGTAAAATGGCATTCCCTCCCACTTTCAGCATAACTGTTACATCTGTGTATTAAGAATACATAAAGAAAAAGTGCTGAGCCTAAAATAATATTTTTTAAAACAAAATTCAGAACTTGAATATGCCACTCAGCCTAGAATTCTTCCCTTTTTCCTTATATAGCTAACTTTGTACATATTTTGTTGCCACATAGTTGAATTAGTGAAAATGTAAATGCTAATTTAATGTATGACAATTTCCTTAAAATTGTCTTATCAGTCGATGAAAAGTATTATGACTTCGGCATGATTATTTAATGCATAATTAATTCGGTGTGTACTGCAATTTAATTTTTTTTTAATTAAAGCTGGATCTGAAAATGTGAACATGTTTGGTTTTACATTAAATATATTTGTAGTACCTTTTTGTATATTTTAATATTTTTGTTGAATATAAGAATTGGTGTGTTTTTCTTAAATTAATGTCATGTGGTACACTTCATTGATTTGAAACATGTTTTTGAATGCATTGTGAAAGCATTTCATCCTAATTAAGATTTTTAGGACAATAAGTGTTTACCAGAGTAGTATATTTTTATGATTTCATTACTACATCATGTTTAAAATAGCAGTTGCAGTGGTACCTTATATAGTGGTATTAATTCATTCCAGATGTTTGGAATTATATCATACAAACTTTTTTAATTAGGAAAAAAAGAAAAATTATATCTGGTCTTTTTACTCTGTGAGGTCTTTACTTAGGCCTAATTGGTGATCACCAGGTCTGAATTTTACTAAAAATCTGTCGAAAGAACTTTGCTTCTGCATTTTCCTTAAGATGTGTGACAATGCTGTTAGAGGGTGTCAGAGCTTTAATGGGAGTGTAAAATTCAGGTTTTGACTTCTATTTATTTGGAAACAGAGGTTCCCCTGCATTTATTATTATGGTTTTTTAATCCAAAGGGACAATTTGCCCTGAAGGACTATTGTTTTCATTTTGCAATTTTGCGTTGAAACCTTTTAAAAGGATGTATCACTTTTCAAATCATTGCCACCAAATATTATCTCCCTGCGTTATATCGGAAGAAATTAAATAATGAAGAATCTGCATAAATGTATCCATGTTTCTCGCATTGTGATAAAACAACGGCACCTAGAGCCATCAAAATTTGACTAACGTAATCTTCCATAGAATATGGGCATGTGGAAGCCCCAATTTGAATGAAATTTGTTTTATTATCGATTTCATATTTTGTAACACTATTATTACTACTCACGAATTTTTGATTAAAAAAACCAAATGATTTCAAAGCAAAAAATGGCAACGTTGTACAGAAAAATTTTTTTTAATCTTCAGCGCGAGGACTGCGTATTGGAAATGCTAAAGGTATGTTGATATTAAAATTATTTTGCGATAATGCTCTTGAACTGAATTTTATGGTTTAAGTGTGAAGAACATGATATTTAAATAAATAAAGGTAGCACACAAAATGTTAAAAAAATGCCGCTTTAGAGGTAATTTAAAATCTAAAATCTTTTAGTTTCCCCCCACACACACACACACACATTTGTAATGTTATCTCAAAAGAGGTAAACAAGTGTAGTGAGCGCAATTGCAATTCATCAAACTTGAGTTCATGTTTCGAATAAAACTTTTCATATCCAAACAACGGGACATATATCAAGTTGGACTTATTTTAAAGCTGATGTTTACTGGGATAGCTTAACCTGAGCACATAAACCAATGTGTAAAGCTGTTTTAAGATTTTTTGAGGATATGTTTTAAAAATATTTGTTAAAAAAATGTAAATATTACTTATGCAAATTTTTATTTATAACAAATATATGCAAATTTTTATTTATAACAAATATATAGTGTAAAATTATGCAACGAATTATAGTCTGAAACAATTGTTTTTGTTTCAGAATTCTTATGGCCGAAGTCTCTGGTTCACTTAATACTAGTGTATTGTATTATGGAAATGAAACATTTACTTTAGCAGAGTTGCCTATTAATACTCATTTAACTGAAATAAATGAGATGTCGTCTGGAATTGAACTTCAGCATCACCTTGACTTGTGGACAAAACATAGCCCAGAAGGTGCTTGGCCAACTTTACTGGTAAGATTTCTCCCTTTCTGGTTTATGAGTAATGTTGTATCTAAATTAGGTAACTTTCATATTTGTCATTTATACTTTGTAACAAATTTTGCTGAATATGTTTTCTTGAATAAAAATTAAAAGTGGAAATGAACACTTGCAAGAGTTTAAAATTATGATTAGGTATTAATAATTTCAGTTTTATGCAGATTTTCTTTATTTATACATTGGTTTTAAGCATGTACTTTAATTCAGTTAAAATTACGAAAGTAAAATTTTTTACATGGTTCTTATAGTACAGGAATTCCAATGAGTATTTGTTATGCACTAGTAAGTAAAATATAAAAAATTTGTACCTTTTCTTTGTAAAATTCGAGATGTTGCAATCTAAGTACTGATGACTAACATCTGCAAATATAACTAGCATCCCCCCCCCCATTATGAAGCTTTAATCACTGGTTTGAGCAACCTTCTATTTCATACTGTACAAAGTCCAAGATCCAAACTTCAGTAGTTCCAGATATGGTTTTTTTTTTTTTTTTTTTTTTTTTTTTTTTTCAGATATTAGATAGTCAGGTTAAATCTAGTAAGATGATATGCAAAAATTATAAAATTTAAACGTATGAAATAATGATTGAAATGATAAAGCATTTATGACCTAAGAGATCAAAATTTATTTTTTAAAAAAATCTCAGTATTTACTAGCTGTATTAAGCATATCCCTTTAATTCTAGAGCTAGACATAATTTATTGTTCAGTTACAAAATTCAAAAGTGTTCGAGTCCTGTATCAGCATCGAGAATTCTCACTAAATTGTGAATCAAAATATTTTTAATCTTGATAACCTGTCTATAACATCCTTCACTATTGGTAGTGATATATTCTGGATTAGAACTCTGCTACAGGTTTTGCTGTCTTACGTAGCTGAAAATTTAGGTGTACAGAAATTATAGCTGCGTTATAGACTTTCTTTCGTGCCGGACAAAAACTAAAAGAACAAAATTCTACAAAATTAATCTGAAAACTCTTATACTCCTAAGCAATGAAGAGGAGGAAATGTGAGATTGATATAACCCACTTTACATTTAATCAATAAACTATTTCTTAGAATCTATTAATTAAATTAAATGCAGATTCACACTTAATAAAATTTAATCTGAAAAATAAAGAAGAAAACGTCTTTACTGGTGCTCGGGCAAAAGAATGCTATCTCTTAAACAATGAACATTACTTAAATTCACTTAAACTACATATTCAGTCAATTCTATAATTAACTCAAGAGCAACAAGTTCAGTTGCATTAATTCAAAACTTCACAACACCAGGGGAAGAAATATTCTTAAACAATCAAATCAGTTCCTCAATAGTTTAAATACATTTCTGGCACCTAAGAATCATTTCAATTTATCCAAAAACAACATTCAAATAATTTTAAATATGTGGCTAGTACAAAAATAAAGGCGTGTTGTGAAACCCTTAGACTTAAAAAGTTTAACAATACCCCGAGTTAAATCTCCATGTTTCTTAAAAGCCTCAAAGCTCAAACAAATGGAGTGACTGGTCAGATCCAAGTAAAGTAACTCAAATGAAAATCGAACACATTTATTAATTTCTCGACTATTCTAATTCAGATAGCTGGCCAGACTACCCTTACATACATTGGACATACATTCGTAAATAATATTCCACATATTTTTTTCGAGTCACTTATCATGATCAAATTTCCAAATTAACATAATAAACGATTATTTTGATTATTCTAGAAAGTTACGTTTAGTTATTTAAGGTGGATCTCATGTAAACTAATGAAGAAATTACAATTGACAGAATTACATATTTTATAGACAATAATTTTAAGTTCTCATAAAGGCACAAACAATTTTCTGTATTATCAAAAATGAATTTGTTTAAGCAGTGCAAAATACAAGTTCAAGAAAAAATGACATCTTGTAGAAATATAAATGAAGAAGCCCATAAATCAGTAATTCTGGTTGGAAGTAGGTGAATGGAGAAACCGAAGAAAATCATTTGGTTATACCGGTGTCAGCTTTGATTGAAACTGCACGATCGACGACACAAGGACGAATTCCCCTTCTCATGACTGGAACACTGGCACAAAAGTAGTTTTCAAAAACAAAGAGTCTCTGCGAGGAAAAACGTACATTTTCCCTCGAATAACCACTTCAGGAATGTCCATTTTTCAAGTGTGGAAGAGATCACGCAATGTACTACATCTCGCAGGAAATATCTCACACAAATTTCTAATCGGCTCGCAGAGCCCATGGCGTAAAAAAACGCTGTCTCAGCCCTCCGATGCAAGTCGCTCGCAGCAGGTCAAACGCCCCACAAACTCTTTTAAAGAAACTTCACAGCTCTACAACTCAAATATGTCTGACTTAAACACACTTACAAGCTCCAAAGACCACCACTAAAAACTATAGGGCAAAATAAAATACAGATAAAATTAAACTTAATCAACCCAAGAATTCTATTTTTTATTTTTATTTTGCTGAAAAATTTCACCCCCTCAATGAATCGAAACAAAGACGTTGTACGAAGATCGGTTGACCATCTGGAAACAGTGAGTCACCCAGAAGTGTGACGAAAATTTGACTCCCAGTTAACAAGCGGAAAAAAGAGATAAGAATCAAAGCTGTCCCTTAAAATGAAATTACAGATGCTCATCCATCTTAAAGAAACTCATTTATTCAACACTTACAGCATTCACAAAGAAAGTGCAGTTTGACTGCTTTCTTTGTGAATTAAATCTTCCTTATGCTACCCAGTAAACTCCCCCCCCTCGGCAGCACGAAAGACGTGACACAACACTACTATACTGCCTTCTGTTATCGTAAAAGCTATTCACAAAAAAATCATTTCCGTCCAAAGAAATGCTCCCTATCTTGTTTAGAAAAATTGAACCATTGAAAAATAAATAGCTGAAGATTTTAACAGTTATATATATATTTCATAATGCTGTTCACAATTTCAATTTAAATAAAATGCCTAAATATTAATTAATTAAATAACACAAGCACAATAAAAATTCGTGACACAACAGCTGTCTATTAATTGGTTGATGATTGGGGGCATTGTCATCGTCATGAAAAACTTCTGTTATTTCCTGTTCTCCACATTTCTTCAAAAATTCCATTAGGAAAAAAAAAATCCCCCCCCCTTGCTCTTTGAATACTTTCAAATTCTTGGCTGTCATTACAAATTTTAACTAGCGTGTGCTATACATTCTTGGGGAATGTAAACATACAGTCAAAAGTCTTTAATCCGGACTCGTCGGGACTTCGGCGATTCCGGATTGTAGATCATCAGTTTAAATCTGGTAAGATGGCATGCAGAAATTATAAAATTAAAAATATGAAACCGTAATTTATAAAATAATGAGCAATTATGATTTAAAGGGTATCAAAATTTACAAAAAAAAGCTTAATATTTATTTGTTTACTTTATTAAACATTTCTTTCAACACGCGCATGCGTAAACCATACATTATGCATAGCCGAAATTAGAAAATTGCAACCAGAAAACTATTTGATTTGTATTCGTGATATTTATAAGGACGAGGAATTTGATTTAAATCATATCAAAGACGGAGTACATCGAGATGAAATACTACATTTAGTAAAGAATTATAAGCCAAATAAAATAAAACATCTGCCCTGAAGATAACGATAGTGCTAACAGATCAACTTCCAGTTCATTGCGCCCCCCCCCCCCCCCCCCCCCCGTGCACAGCAGCGTGAAATTGATAAACAGATTTCGGAACGGTTAGATAAACAAAGGATATGCCTTATTATCCATTTTCTGCAGCAATTAAACTTTTTGTTTGATGGACATCGAAACATACTTTCGTTTTGTAGATCCTTTGCAAGCTCCAGCATCGGAAATTCTATTTGACATAATCGAAAGTTCAAGCTTACTTTTATAAAATTGCTCTTACAGTCTGCAAAAAATAATAAGCCGGATCCAATTCGAATATTAAGGAACAACGCAATCATTAAAATTAACTGAAATAGATAATTAGATAATTTTAGCTTATACCATCCGTTATACATTAAACGTGCGTGCGAAAACGTATTCTGCGCTTGCGCACACCGATATGTGCAGTCATAAAGGTCTTACGCCCACGCGTAAACGGCTATGCGCATGCGTCAACGCGGCGCATGCGCAGAAAGTTTTTAGCTTTGAGGTCCGGATTATGGGTGTCCGAATTAACGACTTTTGACTGTATTGTTCTGCTAAATTTTGTCTTGCTTCTGTCGCATGCTAACAAAGTTAAGCCTGAATGATATATTAGTTATTATTGTACTTACGCTTTTTTCCTGCACATACTTAAAACTCAGCTGAGTCTTAAATAAATAAATTCTTGTTTGCATTTAAAGCTTATCCAGGGTTGCCACAAGATATTTTGCAGCCCATTGCAGTCGCTGCTGATATGAAATTCTGCTGTGAATCACCTCCTTAAATTCTAAAAATTTTGCATCTTAGTGCTCTCACTAAATTTTGAAGATTCTTCCATCCCTTAATTTTGTTGCTCGGTGCTTCTATAAATTGTAAAAATTTTGCGTACCTAGATTTGGTCAGCTGCAAAAACTCCGGCGCCGGTCCTGAGCTTATCTAAATAATAAATCAATTTATCTCAACTCGAACAGAACTGATGTAGTCTTTTAGCCTGCAACTATGATTTACAAAATCTATTTTTTGCATAAAAGGAAAGGAATTTAGTTAAATTTCTCCGCGTCAACACACTTACCTCTTTGCAGCTGATTTAGCAGAAGTGTGTAATCATCACCAAGCACAATGTCAACATAAAAGGTTATCGTGCTTTTCGGTATTTAGTTACTAATATTTTTTAAATATTTTTAGGCATCACTGCATGAGTCATTTCTCAAGCTGCAATGTGTTAATACTGAGATGATGAAAGTAAAAAATAAATACTATTTCACCAGTTGGCGTCGGTGCCGAATGGAAATTAAAAATCATGACATGATTATGAAAAAATATTAAATGCGGAAACATGAAGCATAAAGAAAAAAGGTTGCTGACAGTTAAGAAATCTTGATTTTAGACTTTATGCTGTGGTTGTTCTTTTGAAAATTTAAGTAAACAGTTTTGTAATATATATATATATATATATATATATATATAAGATTTGTAGCGCTTGCAACTGCTTTGCAAGAGCAATGGCTCTCGCTTCCTATGGAACTGATAGACCGCATAATTGAAGCATCACACATCGCTGTATTGCTTCTAGAGGCGATCATATTCCATATTGAAGGTACTTTTCCTATAGCAACTGACACCTCGATTTGTTCATTTTATACAGGGCTAATTCTATATACCATTTGTCTGGTATGTCTTTTTATGTGATTTGATACCTTACTATGTGTTGTGTATTATGGGTAAGTTTCATTAAATTCTACATGTAACTTTTTCAGTAATCGTGATTTTTCCTTAATTTATAATAACCAGTATAGTAAGTTTAATACAAATCTCATCAAGTAAAAGATTCCCAACCTATTTGTGATTTTGTACTTCTGAAGATTTCTGATATGAATACTTTGCATTTAACCTTGTTGTCGGGGGTTAAATGCAAAGTATCAATCTCTTAAGTACCCAGCATTTAATGTTAACTTTTTCAAGTAGGAAGGATGCCGAAAAATCAAGGGCGAGCTTTCTCATATTCGAGAATAACACATAGGGCTGCTATAAAATAATTTGCAAGTTCGTGTCATCATTTCAGCTGTGAAGGTTGGGCATTTAGCTTACAATAATGCACTCTTTCCCTAAAATGTTTAATCTATATTATAATAGGTTTGATGTTTTCGAACACTTCTGAAGAGTTCTGTTACCAAATCAAGAATTTATTTGACTATTTTGAGGTTTTCTATAACTGTACAATTGATTTGAAAATTTTTCAAATGTTGACCATTTATTACATGTGTCTTTCAAAAAGCCATTAAACTATTTGTTATATTTAAACCTTCACGCAGAATGAACAGTTAAATCATGCTCGACTTAATGACGAGTCTCTGCTGGGCAATTTCCTCTCATTATGCAAACATGTAATAATAAGAGCTTTCATTAGTGCCCATGATTCGATAAGTTATTGCTGTAACTTTTATTCAAAAATTCGAAAAGGTGCAGTGTCTTCAGCCACAATTTTTTTAATTTCACACTCCTTGATTTCTCTTGTCGTGTCTATGGTGTCTTTCGCTTTGAGGTAAAGACAAGAAAATATTGGTTGACCTAAAAAAGTAGTCGGATATCAATCTTTTGATAAATTGACTTCTAGAAGTGAAATATGTTCATTAGGGTGTGTGCTTGAACGTTTTATGATGAAGGTCATCAAAATGCACAATAGCACTGATCGCAAAGTCTTTCTTAAATTTTACTAATGCTGTTTTACACAGTGTTCATTTTGGGAATTAAAGTTGTAATGCTGTCATTGGCTAGTAGTAATTTGACTTGAATCCGGAAGCTACATTTTCGTGGCATCTGATAACCTACACATTAATAATAAAAAAGAAAGGCATTACAGGAATATTAAGGCTTACAATACTACGCTGAGACTTAATTTTCACACCTCTTTTTAAGCTTAGTGAAGTACAACTAATGTACAAGCGCGAGCTCAATTATTTAACTTCAAGAAACTTATTAATAATCTGTCTAATTTGCAGAGAAATTTCTAATAAAAAATTATGAGATTCGTGTTTGTAAAGAGTTGAAATGAAAAAAATACAGAGTAATTTACTAAATTTATATATTTAACTTGACGTTATGGATATGTACCAAATATGAATAGAACATGAATAAATGGGAGAGAATCTCTCATCGTAAAACGTTAAAAGTGTTGTTTGTATGCGACTACTGTAAGAAATACGGTCAAACAGAATTAATTCAAGAAAAAATTAAAGTGAACTAGTAAATAAACTTAACTTTCGATACATCTTTTTTTATATATATATATATATAAATTTAATTTACTATAAGGAATAGTTAATGCTACATAACTTCTAGCTTAATCATATGCTCTGTTTAGGTTCATATGGTTTGCAGATGGCTTTTTAGTACAATTGCCCTCGCTCGTGACGTCACATCAGGGGAGAACCCCTTTGGATTCGGCCTTCTCCCATCAAGATGGCCTTGGTGCAAGGCCACATATTCCTGCACAAACACAAGGTCTGATCGGGTCTTTTGGAGGGGAACAACTGGATCATCCACTTTGCTGTCCAGACCTTGTACCCAGAGATTTTCATTTGTTTCAGTATTTAAAAGAATTTCGTACTGGTAAGCAGTTCAGCAATAATGACGTGAAACCTTGTCAAACACAAAAATAAATTAGGCTTCTTCACAGGCAGCAGGTTTCTTTGTCATGTAAATTCAAAAACTTATCAAGCGGTATGACAAATGTTTGAACAAAAATAGAAATTGTGTATAAACATGGGTGAAACTGTGTAAAATAAGGAGGGAAAAATATATTTTAATGATGGTTACACTATTTTTCTTATTAAAAAAAACTGACCTTATTTAAAAAAAACCTTCATGCTAAATGAGACATGAATGCATGAAGTAAACATTAGTCATAATCTTTTATGATGTTTCTTTCTTTTTAGGTTGGTAGTAAGAAGGTACAGAGATTGGCTTCTCGAGTTGGTGAAGAACTAGTTGATGGTATGCACATGGTTGCTTTTATAGCCAAGGGTACTCCTATAACTTACTATGGTGACGAGTTAGGCATAACTGACACTTATGCAAAATTTCCAACGGACAAGGTATAACTTTTTTTTCAGATATATAATATGAAGCTGCTTATAATATATCCTTGTTAATAACTATGTAAAGAAAATAATTGATCATCGATACTAGGATCTTAACATCCCTATTCATAAATTCAGCTTACTGTAGTTGTCTAGACCAGCAGTCTTCAATTTTTTTATCGCATATGCCAAGATATAAATAATTAAAAGGTCCCCATGTAACCTAATATAATGTGTGTATGCTTTTAAACTGGTATAGTTATGTTGTCCCCTCACATTCATGTGATCCATGGTCATACACTTGCAAGTGATCGTGAGCCTATTTTGACGTGCCTTCAAAGTGCCTACTTTTGCATCACTTCATATGCCCCCATTTTGGACGTTAGTGGTCTAGACCAGCAGTCGCCAACTGGTGGTCCACGGATCACTGGTAGTCCATGAAAACATTTTGATGGTCTGCAGAAAAATTAGAACATTATTTATGTTTTTATGAAGATTCAGTGTAAAAAATGACAAACCTATTATGGAATATGGATTATACTTTTTTTTATTTTATCTACTTTTAGCGAAATTCCTTTTGAATTTAGCGACTTTTTAGCTGCTTTTGCAGGTGTATATAGCGACATTTGAAAGTGAGAGTTAGCATCCATGGATTTGCTGCTGTTATCAATATTAGCACGAACTGGAATTCTGGTTCTTTTTTAATTACAAATGTAGTCAGTAATGTGTGAATAATCAACTTGATGGATTTTTATGAGAACCATCTGAATTCTTGTTTATAATTGCATCACTGGAAGTTTTTGTTTTGTCTAACTGTTGATTGATGGTGCCATTGCTGAGTAAGAGATGATTATTATGTTTACAATAATTAAAAATTGGGGCATAACACTTTCAGTTTATTGATATTGCTTTGCGGGTTTGTTCTTGCTTTTCGTGAAGTTCCTTTCCAGTGGTATGGAAATGTGAAGCTTTCTGTAGAAGAAGGTAAGATTTTTGTACTTTTCATATAATTTTTCAATGTGAATGAAATGTGTGTATCAGTGATAGGTTAATAATGTTTTAATTGTTCCTCATAATCAGGGGCATAGCATGAATTTCCATAAAGGCATGCTGCTGAGCACCAAATGTTTCGAACATTATATTAACAAACGAAAATTAGAATTGCATGCATTCGAAAGTTAAATATTTTTTTCCATATTAATATGTTATTTTAAAAGTCTAATTTAAGTTTTTATTATTATTTTTTTATTAATTTTTTTTAATTCATAGTAGTGGTCCACCAAATATAAAATTATATATGTAGTGGTCCGTGAAGCTGTAAGGGTTGACAACCACTAGTCTAGACAAGGATATATTATAATTTACTAGCATATGGTGAACTTTTCCTACCAAATAAGGAAGTTTAAGAACTTTAAAAAAATAGCACATTGTATATGGAATTTATTTATGAATTCTGTATCATGCATTACTAATATTTTTCTGATTTATTAAATTAATATTCTAATTCTGAAAATTTTTGTTTTTCAGTCTTCCTGTTAATTTCAAATTGCTTTAAAACTGCAACAGAGTTTATCACAGATAAATTTTTTCTGTGCTGTATAGTCAAGATATAAATGGGCACTTTACAAGGGCAACTTTTCACATTTTTGACTTAATTGTAGCTGTTCTATTCAAATTATTTGCAAACCTGGTAATTTAGTTACATGCTGCTTTCATTAGTAGGAACATGGGCACAAATAAAAATGTAAGGTAGCGGAATTAATTAAACGGAATTAAAATTTTATCGAGTGGCAAACAAAAATAATTATTGCAATGTTCTCTGAAAATTTTTACTCGGCTTAACCATAATCACCTGATCTGTAAATAAATTAGCCACAGTTTTAACTACTAGCTGTTTTGCTAATTAGTGCATCTATTATGAATCGTACAAACCTATGAGCTATACAATTGGCTATACAGTTGTTTCTTGCCATTTCACAAAGGTGCGAATGAGTTGCTGACTTTTTGTTGGAATACAGATAATCAAAAAGTACAATTTAAAATATTATAATATCACTTCTGTTGATTCTGTTATTAGCCCAGTTTGTACATTAGCAAAACAATTAATTTGAAGGAAAAGAAATATCTCATAGATGTTTAACTCTGCTTTGTTCAGCCAGTTTCATGAAGCTAGATCTGAATCGGTGTATATAGGCATTTTTAGAATATATAGTAATTAGAATACAGTTTGTAAATGAGTGACTACCATAATGGTCTTAAAAAAAACCATAGATGTTTAACTGAATGATTATAATAGTATTAAAGGATTAGGTGATTTTATGCAAGGAAAGTTTTCAAAGAGATATATGTATATCTGGGATAAAGCATGATCCATTTTTAACTGGGAAAAAAAATATCAGTCTGACTTTTGTTGTTGAAAAAGATGAAATATGTATCTGCTTTTGTAATGTATTTTCCTTGTTTTATATTGAATTTACTGTTTGTTTAGTACTGGAAATTATATATTGTGGCTCACAAGAAAATATCCCGCTTCTAGCAGCAAGACAATGTATACTTTCTGATACAGTATGCATAGAAAAAGTGAATAGATAAGCAGAATAAAGCTGAAGCACTCTTTATTTGATGACATTAAGTCGTTTAACAGATGGGTAGGAGAGAATGTGCTGCTTTCTTCTCCAAAGAGTAAAACGTTGATATTTAGGGCAGGCTACATTTTTTGTGGGCCACTTTGTATAGAATTGTCTGAAGTTATTAGTGGGACATTTCTATAGTATGGAAGCATGATTTTTTTGACATGTAATGTAAAGCATGTCTTGCATCAGAAGTTTCTGTGTTGGTTTTCTCTCTTCGCATTTAGAGAAATTCATTAACTAATGCTGCATGCTGTTCTCTGAAAATATTGGGTACTAACGTATTAAGGCATCACCTTAGTAGAAGTCATCAAATTTTCAAAATATACCAAATTTTGGCAACCATGCATATAACCATCTTCATAACAGTCCTTCAGTCAAGCAACACTGCCATTTTCGTATGTTTTTTTTTTTTTTAATTAATTAATCTATTTATTTATTCCAAGTTCCAGCAGCTTTTATAAACATATCATGATATTTTTTGCCTTAGTTTTAAAATATTAGTTTGTGGAATTTGCCATTAATAGAAGAAACTGCAATAAAATTTTTGCGAGAATACAGAATTTTGCTGAACATTTTCTAGAGGAAATGCTGATATTACCAAGGATTTCACAAAGCAGAATCTTTGCAGTTCTGTTTATTTTCTTTTTTAAAGTAAAAACAGATTGCTTTGCACTTTGGGAAAAGAATGTAAACATTTTATTTTTTTAATGTATCATTTAGTCTTTATTTAATATTTCAAATCTATATTTTAAATTGCTAAAGTATTTTTTTTTTCATATGTTGATTATGTTTACCATCTTTTCATAAATATTGATAGTATGAGTATCTTTAAAAAAAGAAAGTTAGAAAACCAACTTTTGCACCCAATAAGTAACTTTATTTTCATCTGTAAAAAATTGCCAAGGTATGTAAGTATCAAATATTGTCTTAATTTATATTATTGCATTTAATTGCAAACATGATTAAGAATTATGTTTGGTAATTTTACAAGATAAAATTATGAATAAAAGCAATGATGGTAACGAGCTGTATATAAATTCAAATTGCTGTAATCAACATGTACATATTTCATCAACTTCATTTTATATTAATTGAATGTAATGTATTGCTGTAGAGTGCTACACACATATATTTTCTTATGCAGGTATCTTCTGAAACTGTAATGCTTTGGAGTAATGAAACTTATGGTGGTTTTACCAATGGTAGCAGCTTGTTGCATGTGCATCCTGACTATCAGACACACAATGTTGAGGTTGGTTCCTTTCATAATTAACCATATTTATACCTGAATGTTGACATCCATAACAACTTCATGATGTAAGAGTATGTAATTTATATGAAAAATTACATGTATTATATCATGAATGAAATGTACATTTTATTAGATACAGTATATGCACTGCATTTTAAAGCTTAAAACTTAGTTTCTGCTCCAGAATATCATTGCAGATGCTTTTGCATGTAGTGTTGTTCTATTTGAAATGAATTAATTCGCATGAATTCGTGAGCATGTCTCCAGAACTGAGTAATATTTTCCTTTTATTAAAGTATCAAAATGGCTGTTGAATGATGTTAGAAAATGGTTTTTGTAGCATTTAGTATTCATTGAAGAGAGAGAACAGAATGGAACTTTTAAGTTTGGGGAGAGATATGCATTTTTAGTTTTTCTACTTGTAAATGATACAGTTGGTCATTATTGGCCTTTGATTCACTAGATATCACATTTAGACTTCCCTGGAGGGGAGAGGGCTGTATTATGCCTCTTTATTGGTTGATTTGGCATCTACTGCCACACCTAGAAATTCTTTTTAAGTAATGAAATAAATTATTTATGAATTACAAAACACTTGAAAAGTATCCCTTAAGATGATGAAATGTATTAGCTTAGTCCATCCTTATTCTATATTCCCCAAACAATTCAGATTATAAACATAGCTCTTCATATGTTGCCTTGAAAAAAAGTTTTATTCCTCTCATAAACATTTATCGCTCTTTTACTCCTCTTGAAATTGCAAATGATAATCTGCCATACATATGCAACATCGCTCAATCCATAGTTTTTTAAGAATTAAATTTAAATGCCAGAATTCCATTATTTTTCTAAATTTATGAGAGAAAACGCTATGTCCCACTGAAATCTCCAGTATACTTAATTATTCCTGCATTAATGTTGATAATATATTGTGAAAAAATTATCAAAAAAAATTATGCCATTAGCATGATGATCATATTAAATATAGACCTTGGTATGTATTTGTGGATATGAGGTTTCTACTGCTAGTTGAATTCTCAGCCTAAATGAAAATTTGTGAGGAAAATTAAAAATAATTATTGCAAACTGCATATAATGTTTTTAGCAGGAATTGTAAACATAACAGTAATATGCACGAGATATAAGAAGGAAGATAAAACTATTAAAGTTGAACATTTTGACAGATGATAGTTCCATGTTATATGAGATAGAAATCTTTGTTACACTTTTGCTGAAAGGCGCCGTATAAAAAGTTTGATTTTATATGTATAGTCTTCATAAAACTGTTATCATAAAGTACATTATTTTGAAACTTGTATTCATATAAGATCAAAATTTCAGGAAATATCTTGTTTTTTAAAGTCTATTAGGCTTCATCTTCTAAAATATTAAATTTGCCTAATATTATGCTGCAAAAGTTTTTTTTTTTTTTTTAAATTTTTAAAGAAAAATCAAAAATATATATTTTTAGGCATTTATAACTATTACTTTTATATGGTTGTTGTTTCTGAAGTAATATATGTATTTCCCAAATTCTTTGATTCAGTTGCCCATTGGGTATGAATAATTAGTTTTTGGCATTTTTATTTTTAATATATGAAATAAAGCATGTACTCTAATTTTGAAAAATTTCAGGCATCTTATTTGAACAGAAGTATTCATTTTGACTGTTCCCAAATCCATTTGGCTGTTGTGTGGTGGTATATATATATATATATCTTTGAGTATGTACATCTGCATGTGTCTTGCATGACTCAAAAACGATTAGCCATAAAATGTTGAAATTTTGTCTATGGGAGTGCTATAACATCTAGTTGTGCATCTCCCTTTTTTATTGCAATTTGGAGTACCAAACATATATCTATGTACCCACCCCCATACTGGCTTCAAAGTCCTTACCCAGTCCTTATTTTTGCAGTCATTGGTGGTAGTCATACACATTCAGTTACAGAAGTGTTTTAAATGATGAAAATATTCATGTTTGGACAATGTCAAATTTTTTAAAAAGTTAGTAACAAATAGCAAAATGGGACTTTTAATGAGATCTCCTGGTTGCTATACTTTTATATTTGGAGAAAATTTACGCTTGGTATGAAAAGATAAAATTTTAAAAAGTTTGATCCTTGTAAGGCAAAAATTGATTGATTGAGATATTTAATTTCAAAATTTGCAGTTTTGGATGTCATTTTCAGCTTGCCTAGAGGAATCGGTTAATTAAGTTAGAATAGTTCAAGTAATAAGTTTAAACGAAGTGCAGTGTAAAATGCGTATAATTTAAAAGGAAGCCATGTGGTGTATACATCAGATTTTTTTTTTATTACAGTGAACTATTGATACAAACCTGTGTATGCATATGTACAGAAAGGTGTTAAATTAATATAAAGTTTTAAAAAATCATTGCATGATATTATGAATTAATTGCGATATAATGATTTTTTTCCTTTACAAGATTTTATGAGAGGCTTGAAATTATATTTTAACCTTAAAAAGTGACTTGCTGTCATTTGATGCAAATTTATGTACTTGAGTGTTGCAGTAAAGTATTTTGTGAATGAAAGTGTTTGTTGGTATCATTTATGCATGACCCCATACATGGGATGCAAATTATATGTGTATTTTTTTCCCCATGCAGTCATGCATGCTTGCCACTAAGTCAATTGTAGATGCTGAACTGTTAATGAAATATTATATAGTTTATTTCATAGATTCTCGTTGGGATAATAATGTATTTTTTATAGCTGCAATCTGATCTTTGTGATCTTACATCCTAAAGGCGATGAAACACACAATGATAACATACAATTTATAAACGCTCAAGACCGAATGGCTATTGATTTTTTATAGTTAATGGTCTTTAGCATTCCGATGTACAATGGATTATAGTTTGTATGTTGCAGGGTATCAAGAATTATTGTATTTCTTATAATAAATTAAACTGTATTCCCATATTTGGTATGTCCTGGGAATTCGTAAAACTTTTCATTATTTTCTACAGTAGCAGATAAATATTAGCATTTACCTCTCTTGCCTTGGTAGGAGGTAGTTAAATAAATATATTAAGGTATTTCCATTTATTTTGAATCTAGACTTGTACTTAAATAGTGGCAAGATGCTCATTAGGGTATAATTTTAATTAACTAATTGGTGTTTGCCTTTTAATGTGAATCATTCAAAATATGACACTATTTATACCTGATATAGAAGTGTATTGCAATAAATATCAGCATACTTCTCAAGGTGTCCATTAACTAAGACCAGAAGAGAATGACATACAACTGATAAGAGTTGCTGGCATATGATTGGCATGATAAAGATGTAAGAATGAGTAGCAACAAATTGGTGTGCAATGGACATTGCATAATGTAGAGTGGTTATAATTTAGCAACTCCACATAATCAAGCAGAAAAGAATTTGATTAATTTTTTTATTTAAGGTATCTACATATAAACTATACTTGAACAGAGTATAAACTTTGTTGTTGCCAATCCTGTGGCAGTAGAGAGTATGCTGATTCCATGCAGTGTTGGTCCCTAACATGCACAACCTACTTTTCTATTTCCAGAAGGAATATTAAAAATGTTTGTGAATATCAGAGTGCCGATTACTACATTCTAGAATAGATTTGATGTTCAGACCCAGTGAATGCAGAAGATGCATTTCAGTGGTTAGATCTTTTATAATATTCTGGATATGCAAGACATGATGTACAGATCTTTTTGTGTTGTAAATTATCTATCAGAGTATTGCCGCAATGTAATGTGCATAATTTTTCTAGCACCATACAATAATATATGGTGTTAGAAAATTTTTTATTGATTATACTTTAATGCTGTAAAAGTACAAAGTCTCTAATCCGGATGTCCATTATCCGGAACTCAAAGCTACAAACTTTTTTTTTGTTTTGTATGCTTTACGCATGCGCGTAACAAATGCACATACATTGCGCGTGAAAGTAAACAAATAAATAAATAAAAAAAAAAAAACCTCTTTTTTTTTTTTTTTTTTTTTTTTGTAAAATTTGATACCTTTTACATCATAATTGCTCTTTATTTCATAAATTACAGTTTCATATTTTTAATTGTATAATTTCTGCATGCCATCTTACCAAATTTAAATTCATGATCTATAATACGGAAAAACCCCTAATCTGGAATCACCAAAGTCCCGACAAGTCCAGATTACAGACTTTGTACTGTGTATTACAAATTGTCACCTAGCTTCATAAAATAAGATTACTTAATAAAATTTGCATTTATTGCTAAGATGACAGTGTTGACTACTTGGAAAATAAATTAAAAATCATTAAGTTTTGTTCAATGTTAATACTTGCTAATTAGTGTAATCTAAGGGCCCAACTGTTTAGAAAGATAACTCTTAACATGAATATTCAAGTTTTACTTAAGTTGGGTTTATTTTATCTATATGGTTTAAGAATTTTCATGCTATCATAAATAAATTTTTAATGCATTAAAAGTATTTCATTTTTATTTTTAGGTACAAGAGAATGACAAACAATCGCACATGAAAATTTATAGACGCTTACTTGCACTGAGGGGTCAGCCAGCTCTCAATTTTGGACTTCAAGCATATCCTTTAGTAACAGATGAAATTTTTTCGATGATCAGGGTGCGCAAAGGTTCTCCTGGTTACTTAGTAGTTGTAAATATGGGTGGTAATTCAACTGTCATAGATTTTACAGGCAAAAGTTCATACTTACCTGAGGTAGCTAGGGTGGAAATCAGAAGTAAAAATTTAATAACTGGTATTTTAGCTGAAGGGGATCATCCCAAAATTTCTTTAAATAATGTTCCTCTAGAATCAAAACAAGCTGTTGTTTTCTCTTTTGTTCCAATTTTTGAAGATTAGGCTAGACAGTATTATTATATGCATAAAAATAAATTACGAAGATATTTGCCTGACTGTGTGTGTGCAGATTATTCATTTTTGTGCATGTGTATTGTAATGGTATGAAATAAAGCTTAAATTGCAGCATTAAATAATTTTTTCCTTTTTGGGGCTAAAATATATAAACACACCATATTTCCTCACATATTTTCTCCCTTTTTTAAAACTTATTTATTATTCAAAAAATAATAATAATAAATTCAATAAAGAAAGTGAAATCACCTGCCATGTCTGAGGAGTTCAACGAAGAATCTGCACAAAATGCATTTTGAATTTTAAATGCAGGAAAAATAAAATGAATGAAATGCAGATTGAGTATACTGAATAAAAATAAATGCAATTTAGCACCATACTAATCCTCACAGAAGAGGGAAATATTGTGAATATTTTTAAAAATTTCAGAACCTACTGCTAAAAAGTTTGGGTAGAGGAATGCACAAGGAAATATAACATATATATATATATATTTACAGTGAAAACTATCATGGCAACAAGCTCTAAAATTGACCAGTATTTCTAAAAATAAGAGCAAGCATCAATATTGATAATTATAGTAGTATTCTTTAAGTTGGCTACTCTAATTCAGCTAAATACATTAAGGATATAACTTCTATGATGTGAATTAAATATTCAACTTAATAGCTAAAACTCAGAGTTGTATTAACCTTATCATCCATAACCACCATACATGTCAGTTTATAATATGAGATAAAAGTTCATTAATTACTACTTCTCATGGTTTACAGGTATAAATACAACTATCTTTCTAACATTGTATCTGTAATAAATTCATAATCATTCTGTAATCATTCATAATTCTTTGGGGCTGCCAGTTTGAGACCACTGCTTTAAATCACTTGCCAAAACCACACCTCCTATAAGCTGTGATCTTCCATGGTTTCAGCAAGAACTAGTGCTTAGCAGTGAGTGTTCTAATGGGCTGCAGTTCAAGTTAAATTGTACTGCATAGTTTTAAATTTGCATAAGTTTCTGGTCTAAGCAAATATTGTGGCATTGCAAGAAAGGTATGATAGGATTTAACTCAAATCCAGTTGTTGGGGAAATTTAAAAGTAGTTGTTACAAGGGGATTTCTAAGTTGTCTAATTTCAATACCAATCTGAAAGACAGTCAAAAGTCTTTAATCCGTACTCATCGGGACTTCGGCGATCATCAATTTAAATCTGGTAAGATAGCATGCAGAAATTATAAAATTAAAAATATGAAACCTTAATTTATGAAATAAGCACATATGATCAAAGGGTATCAAAGTCCGCAAAAAAAAAGCTAATATTTATGTTTACTTTACTAAACATTCTTTCAACGCGCGCATGCGTAAGTAACATTCCGCATACGAAATTAGAAAATTGCAACAGAAACTATTTGATGTGTTTCATGATATTTAATGATGAGGAATTTGTTTAACTCATATCAAGACGGAGCACCTCGAGAGAAATACTCATTAGTAGGAATTATAAGCGGAATAAAATAGGAAGATCTGGCCTGAAGATAAGGATAGTGCCGACAGTTCAACTTCCAGTTCATTGTGCGCCGCGACGTCTCCCCCTGAAAACTATTTAGCAGGAAATAAATGGAAATACACCATGATCCTTGATGAAGCATGAATTTACCTAAATGACTGCAACAAAAAAAAAAGGGGGGTCAATTTATTATTGAAAACGAAGAAATAAAAGTGTACAAACCTGGTTCCGTTCATGCAAAGAAATTTCAGTAAAGGGTTTATGATTGTCACAGGATTCTCTTACAATGGGAAATTAAAAATAAAATTTAAAAAAAAAAATGTTAATCAACTTAATGTATTATCAAGAGAAAGTTATACATCTGATATTTACAGAAGAAATTCCATTTCTGAGTTCCACTAATTTTTAAAGAGTGAAACTTTATCAAGTAACAAATCATACTCTGAAAAAATGAAGACTGATACTATACCTGTATATTTGTAAGACTTTGCAAAAATATGTTACATAATTTTTAACATATGTTTGCAGTCTCCTGATGTTTGACCTTGAGGCATTGAAACTTTATGAAAAGCCTTTCTATCATGAATCATAATCTAGGGGAAAAAAAGCTATGAGATCATTTAAATAAGTACTCTTTACATTTTAAACATCAACTAAACAGCCCTTAAATCATTCTAAAAATGTTTAAATTCTCTCCTTTTAAGTGTTAACAGTGTCCATTACTTATTTCATTCTTTTAAAACTGTATAAATATAACATTAATAAACTAATGTACTACACTTTGACATCAGTATTTTTCATTAACAAACTATGAATCTTTAATAGAATAAATTATGCATAATAATAACTATAAACACCAAATTTTTTATTTATTTAAGTATAATACCTTTACAGAAGATTAGAATTGCAGATGATAATCTTAGAGTTGACTATTTGTGTATATTTTGCTCATTTTGGATTTTCAGGTAATCCGTTTCCATGAACACCAATATTTCTACAGATTAAAATGATTTATTAATTATATATGTATTTCACATAAATAGAAATATATAATGAAAACAGAACTATAAGAAGTAATACATAACCATTACTCTATATCATGATTAGTAATATCTGCCATGTTTTAAACTAATAAATACTGTGTTGCAATAGTTCATGACATTCTGTAGAATGTATAAAAACATCGTTTTAACTTACAATACTGATGCAAACAAATTGTGCATACACATCTTGCTTATTAATTAAGAGGTTTGCTGTTAAGCAATTCTTTGTATAGACTATCACAAACATCAAATTGTTACCATAAATACTTACAGAAGTATTAAACATGCTACCTGTGGTGATGATTGGTAGTGTTGTTTAAGTATACATGTCAACTGTCACTGTACAACAATGATAAAATTATGTGTAGAAGTTATCAATAACTTTTTAGCTGTTTCTTATGCCAGGTTTGATCATTACATAATTCATAAGTGTTGAATCGCAATTTGATCCTACGCAATATAATGTTTAAACTTTCATAATGTACTGAATATCCATTTTTCACGCAGATGACTTCTGTTTAGCAATATTTTCCTCCTGATTCTAATTAAAAACTGATTTTAATAAAAGCAAACTGAAAAAGAAAATGAAGGTCTTAACAATAACAAAATAAAAACTCCATTTGAGTGAAAAATAATGCATTTTTTTGTTTGTTTGTTTTGTGTGTGTGTGTGTGTTTTGTTACATTTAACAACTGAGATGGAGACAGGTGTTCTGCAAGGAATTGCAATTACATGTATGAAAATTATTTAACTATCAACCCAATGAAGTTTTATGTGAAAAATTAATAGTTTAGTTTTTCCTACATAACTAATATGACAGCAAACATATGGAGCTACAAGATAATCAGAAATTGTTTAATTCACTCATTAAATTCAAACTGAATCACTAGATAAGTTTTATTTCTTCTGATGAAAGCTGCAAATAAACATTTATGCAGTTTGTAATATTTGAGATAAATCATTAATTTGCTCATATCTAATATTTTTGTCTTTTGTGCTACCAGATATAACTCTTACCTATGCAAAAAGCAGTAGAATTGGCCCACAGTTTGAAATTGTTTAAAACTATTATACATGTAATATAATTTTTTAAAAATGAAATTATTTTTGTTAAAAAATACATTGTAGCATGATTTGTTTCAAGTTGGAATATTTAAAAAATAAAACTATTATGATACAAGTCTCAGTTTTGCCATGCCCGATACACACAATAATAAATATGTCAGGAGATACAAAAGTAAGGAAAAATAAAATGTAATAATTCAAAAAGTATAGATAGGAGCATGACAAAAATGGTATGCTTTTGTATTAATATATATGTGCATCTACCTCTATGTATATAAATATATAGAGGGTGGCCCTTTGATCATGAGACAAACATGGACTGGTGGTTAAGCATAATAAAACATGTATTTCTTGTACAGGAATGTAGGGTTTAAAGTGACATATTGAGGCACGAACACAAAAAATAACATGGCAAGAAAAATGTGTGTATTTACAAAATAAATGCACAGTGCTTCTTTGCAGTAATACAGTACTCACAAGAAATTTTCAAAATTGCGACCAACAGCAATATGTGCTCGGTTGTGACATAGAAGGGATTGGCGAACACTTTGAAAAACGACAGGCATTTTGTGCACGCTTGCAGCCGTCATGGATATTTGTGCAACGAGATTCTTCAGTAAGTCAATAAGAGTCTTATTAATGATGCCCCCATAAAAAGAATACAACAAGATCCTTCAGTAAGTCAATAAGAGTCTCATAAATGATGCCCCCATAAAAAGAAATCCACGCTGGATAAATTTCGCGAACATGGTGGCTGTTGGATGTATATTTTCGTTTGCATTATTTATTTTCTCACTGTTTAATTTTATGGTGTGATTTTTACAATAATGTTTCTGGTAACATGCTTTATTTAACTATTGAGTTTGTGTGAATGGCAACAGTTGTTCATGTTTATGTTTCAGTAGAATAGCGTTCTTGGGCACACTGTGGTGCAGGTAATTTTTCTCTTAATTATGTTTTGACTCATAAGTTTTATACAAAGCTGATGCTTTTTAGTTCAAGGCAACTAGTGGTCATCGGACTGATCCACCATGCCCAATCCATCGCCCTACAAAATTCGCATCCAAGTAAATCAAAGCCACCAGGTCATAATGGGTTGGTGCACCATCATGCTGGAGTGAACGATCATGAACGACGGCCAGAACATCCTGAAGCAATTCAATTGAAGGTAAAACTCTTTCAGAAAAAATACAATAATGTGAGCCGTTGAAATCTGCAGGTAGGACGTATGGGCCTATGAGGTACTCGTTAATAATACTGGCCCACACATTCACAGAGAAGATTTGGAAAAATGCATGTGGATTATCAGTTGCCTACCCATGACTGTTGTGCATATGGAGAGATCATTCCTTTGTAAAAGTTGCCTCGGTTGTGAATATTACATCCAACAGTGTGTGTGGTTATTTTAATTAGGAAGCACACTAGGCTAGCTGCCTAAGGGGAGGGCCTTTCGTGGAGGACTTTCTAAGGGAAACTGGCTCGTATACACGTTACACATGGGGGAA